TCAACCCACCAAGACGCGAGTGATGGCAGAAGAGCCCGCCGTATCATCTACCATGTGCGTAGAAATCTGATCGATGGCTTCTCAAGATGGCATTGTGTACCTCGTGGATGGAGAAGTTAATCGATGGTGCGCGATACTCCTCACCCATAACGAAAACGAGAGCATGGGTTATTATACATCGATTCGTCCCAAAACACGAGACGGATAGAATTTTGTGCAAAGTGAATGCGACAAAGGTAAACAGTGAACAAACAGTCTTGGATGAGGCAAGCTAGTCGCGGAGGTGGAGGAGGGAAATCGACAGTTGCTCTGGTCAGCCTATCAGCCCTTGAAGGCAAGAGTACCCTGTCCATCGTCGTTTGCTTCTGTCTATCTTCTGAATGCCCTCTTGAGCGCAAGTAGAAGGCGACCATATCCAATTCTTGACACATGTTGATGTTTTCATGATACCATCCATCCATCGCAAACACGGGTCGTTGGACACAACCTTTCCTGACCCGTCTGCAGTATGTGCCATTTGATATCCAGTAGCGATGGAATCGAGGTGATTTCGATTCGGCATTCTGTGACGAGGCCCAATCTATCCAAAACCATCTGGCCACATATCTTTTGCCCGAACAAACTTGTTTTCTCAGCCCTCCGCCTCTCGCCGCTACCAATCATCCACTCTTCAGGACAACCCTGTCTGTCGGAGCCTGTGAAGATGTGTCCTCCAGAACAAGAATACTTCTGTTGGGCTCCTGTGGGTGGACCAAGGAAAGGACGATGCCTGTGAAATGGTCCTCTTCCAAAACTGCGATTAGGCACGATGCGCATTGCAGGAGCTACTCTCGACAAATGGCTGATGCGCGTCCATTGCCGCAAATCTAAGTGCTAGACCCTGGGACTTCGGGGCGGGATTTCGGATTCGCTAGAATCCCAGCAACGAATCGATTATGTCTCGGTCGAGCGTGAATATTCTAGTCACCATCGGACTGTGCGATAATGCTGCATTCTAGGGAATTCGAGTTTTGATCATGGAGACTGCGGCTAACCCACTTTTGTCCGCGCGTATCACTGAGTGACAAACCGACGGACAAAGAGGCGAATCGAGTCGTAGCAGGGGAGACAGATCAGCCTGTAAAGAAGACTTTCTCCAGTTTCCTGGCAAAGTTGACGCAGGGCGTGTCGACGGCTCGGAGGAAGACATCCGCCGACCAAATGACGGCCAAGACAACAATGATCGAAGACTTGAGGAACTCGAATTCGAACCGTCTCATTATCTCCGGGGTTTCGACTTCCGGGGTTCGAGGGAGAATCTGGTGAGTTTATCAAAAGATTAGTTTAGGAATCATTCCACATTGAGGTATAAAGTCCGTTGCATTTTGGGGGGAAGGGAGGGATGAATTATTTCCGTACCATGTAGCCCAGCGTGTGGATGACAGGACCGTGCATGAGATAGAGGGGAAAGCTGATCTTTCCGAGATACTGAATCGGACTCCAGCAAAAAGCCTTGTTGCGCCAAAACCCCAGGCGGGATGACGACCAGACGATCATGGCTGCGCCGATGTTGGGCCAAAATCGATGCTTTTGCGTAAAGTTGACGGGGATGAGGCTGGTCAGGGTGAGGTACCCCGGGGTGACGTGAGCGTCGATGTCCGGAAAGGAGAGCAGGAAAAGCGAGACGCAGAAGGTCGACCAATATAGGATCTTGGATGATAATCTCGTTTTCGCAGGCGGTGGGCTGTTTGCGACTGACGGCAGCTCAGACACCTTGGGAACCGTCCAAATGATATCCAGCTCGGCAATCACCATTCCCGCCCAAAATGGACACATATCCCATCGGTCCCAGGAGGTACCCCACACAAGCAGCGCCGCAAGCGTCGACAGCCTCAGCCGCGAGGACATCCTAGCCACCATCATTTGTGTCAGAAATAAGGCCATGCTGCATCGGAACTCCACAGGGATGGTCCAGAGATGCCGATCAAGCTCAATGGAGCCAGCGAATATGTTCCAGTTGAAGACATCCACAAAGATGAGGAGCTGCACCAAGTAATCGGTGAACTGCAGCCACGGGGTAGGCTGAGTATAGCAGTGGCTCTCCCGAATCATGCGCATTTGGTTGGAAAACCCTTCGGTGAGTTTGTACAGATTGAGCTGGGCGAGACAGATGACGAGGAATGTCGAAGCGAAGCAGGGAAGAAACAACCGCAACCCGCGTCGAAAGATGGACGATGTCATGGTCGTCATCAACTGATCTTGCTGCTGAGACCGCATCTGTTTCAAGGGCTTGTAGCTGAGCGCGTAGCCCGAAATGACGAAGAAGATGGCCACCATGGGAGGGCCAGAATAGAGAAGACGGACAATAGGTAAGCGCAGATATTCCCGGAAGACAGATATTGGCTGATGTTCGGGGTCCGTAACGGCGCCCCATGCGTGAGCAATGTCAAAGGTGCCATATGTGAGGTGACAGATGAAGACCACAAACGCAGCAAGCCCGCGCATGCCATCGAGAAACGCCGTTGGAGCGACTTTGTCTGGTTTGGCCTGGTCATTATGGATGCGGCGCTGGAGAAAACTCGGGATCAAGAGGTTGAATAGTTGACCAGCGAGTTTGATAAGGAATTTGACCGACAAGCACAAGGTGACTTTGGGGATTTGGCGAGAAGGACCGATGCCCATCCAAGGGCTCGCGTTGGGGTTCTGTGCATTGTGGTCGAAGTCGTGCTTTTCCTTCAGGAGTTCAACCTCAGATCCATCCGAACTGGTTCGCGAGGAGCCAGTCCTCGACGAGCTCATGATTTGCCGGCGGAGTGGGTAGCTACATCAAGCAAAGAGATCGCAAGAGGGGACACCTCAAGCAGTGACACGTTCACAGTGAACAAGATCCCGTTGTAAGGTGAATTACGGGGTGAGGGAGGGTATGGAGTAACAAGAAGGGAAAGGAAAACAGAAACGTCAACGAGGCGCTTTACAGCCCAGAAATCACCCGCAAACGCCAAACACGGGGGAGTAGCTCAACATCGACACTATTTTTGATTTTTTTTCAGGGATGGGGGCCAGTCCATCACCCCATCAGTCCACCAGGTCCATCAGAGAGCCTCTGTCAATCCATCAAATCACTCCTGTACAACTGTCTGTGTTTCGCTTGGCGGATCATCCTTCTCCACAAATTGCCCACAAAAATCACGCGTATGAGGCCAATCCCCCTTTAGCTTCTGCACCGTCTTCTGAGACATGATCCTCCCACTCCGCGAACACTGGGCAACGTGTTTGGTACAAGGAAATAAGGAATCAGCCGTGGCGCGTAGTATCATCAGTATGAATGGAGTACGCAGAATGAAGCGTTGGGGTTCGAGGATTCTGAATTGTCTTTGCGCATATCTTCTCCGAAATCCCGACACGAAACGAAAGGGGAAAAGGATGAACGGCGTGGCGCTGGGCAAAAAAAAGGAGGTGGCGTTTCTGGGGTCGCTTGTGCCAGATTATGGGTGGATTCTGCTAGGTCTGGGCCATGCCTAGGGCTTTGAGCCGAGGACTGAAAGGGAACATGGACTGAAGCAGCGATATTACCTGTTCACTAACAAGGATTTAACGAGAGGATACGAGAAAGTACATGAATGGATTGGTGAATGAACCCTGAGGTCTCGTTTGCCCTGACGAGGCTTCTGCCTGCGCCTTAATTTGGGCAGGTTTCCCGAATCGCTCAAAATAGAATCAGCAAAAGTCCCCTTGACAGACGCCAACCTTTCCCTATCGTGTCTCCCTATGTACAAGCCCGTTGCTTGACATCTCTGTACTGTTTCGAGTACACATACAGCTGTTTTGCAGGTCCATCCCGAAATGCGTGCATCAGTTTCCCCGAGACCCATAATGGACATGTATTTCCGTTCAAGGAAGTGCAAACCCGGCGGACCACGGAAGACTCGCTCCGCTCTACACTTCAAGTGTCGTTCACCGTCAAACCCTGTGTCCGACCTGCTCGATGATGTCGGTCTCAACGATGGGCCCGTTGTATCTCCCTCTAAGGTAGCCGAAATAGCTAACAACACCAACGATCATGGTTCCACCCCATAACAAGCAGGACCAGTTCATGGTTTCGAGGGTCAAATCGGTCCTTACAGATGGGAAGAAACTAAAGGTCATGACGATAGCAATCCACAACAGCCCAAAAATGTTACAAAAGATGCCCAAGCGCCGTCCCAATGTCCAGGGGCCATAGTGTATGGACGAGGGATGGTATATCTTCTTGTGCAGGATAAGGACTAGTTCGTCGTTAGTATCGAGCAGCCGAGATCAAAGACTACTGAACGGCCACCGGAACACTTACTAATTGGTAGAGTATAACTGCCGAGATAGCCAGACACGACCAAAGAGGCAACAGCGTTAAAGGCGGCGGATGATCCGTTGTTGATCAATCCCAACAGCAAGGTGATGAGAACAGAGAGTGCGACCGAATACAACGGGAGCTTCGTCCGGGGATTGACCTGCGAGATGAATCGGGATCCGGGAAGACCATTGTCACAGACAAAAGCCCACGTCATTCGGGATGCCGCTGCTAAAACCTCTATGGTAGCAAAGATCATCAACGAGAGGACTATAGACGTCAGTGCAGTGGCTCCACCATTCGACTTAACAGCCTCCTTGAAGATTTCGATAAATGGGAATCCTGTGGGGGTTGAAAGTGCATTGTCGATGTCGCCGACATAGAACAGGATCGCGATCAGCATGGCAAAACCTATCAGCCCGTTGAGACCAATGGACGCCACTAAGGATTGAGGCACCACCGTTGAGGCAAAATCTCGACCTTGACCTTGCTGTTGGCCCTCTCGCCGAAAAATTCTTTACCGTATCCCAATACTGGTTACGGGCGGCGTGACGGCAGCGTGGGCGGTTGCTTCGATCCTCGCTTCCCCATCCATATCTGATTGCCACCAACAAATGCTTCACTCGGAGGGCTTTTGGGACGCCGTGGGAGTTATCGATATCCTTATCGACGCGACACTCATGGCAATCCCCATATGGCTCGTGTACAACGTCCAACTGCCATGGGAGAAGAAAACCGCCGTGTGCTTTGCCTTTTCCTTCCCACGCTAGCTATCGCTCGCACGATCTGGCGACTATGCGAAATACATCACTTCTTCGACCGCGGCGCTGATGTCACCTTCGAGAACTGGCTGCCGACGATCGCAACCTTGCTGGAGGTTTTCTTCAGCGTCTTCTCCGCGTGCGTCCTGCACTTGCGTCCTTTTATGGAATCCATCCAGGCAGGCTATCTTTCCGGCGTGATCCAGGAAGGCGACGGACGATTCGGCTATGGCAATGACAGCTATCTGATGGGCAAGATGTCGCAAAGTAACACCGGTTCAGTCACTCGAAGTCACGCCCTGAAAAGCGAGGTGCGGGTCGAGAGTCTCGACCTCCCACGCCAGGGAGCCACTATCGGACAGACGAACGATTCAGCAGGCCATGGAATTGGACAAGCTCTGACGAGTACCAGGCGTGTCGTGATGAATAAAGTCTCCGTGGGAAGGCCGGTAAGGGACTTTAGCCCAGAGAGACATCGCAGCGAGAGTACTACCTCGGAGGGGGGCAGGAGCCATGGCAGTGATGGGAGCAAGGCCATGATTATCAAGACCACGAAGGAATGGAGCGTGAGTTATCAGGACGTTTGAGCGGCACTGATCTCGGACTGAGCCTACCAGCTGTCTTTTTGCCATCGGCCTCGTTTCCTGGGTGCCTTTGAAGAGCACTGTGATCGAGTATATATACGTATATTGACATACTGTCGCTGGGTTGTGGAAGAACACGGGGACTTCAAGCCAGGTGAGCATGGAAAGTGGGACACATATGGCTGGGAAACACAAAGATACCAAAGGATTCTGTACGGCTAGGCTCCGGGGATACAAGAGATACATGCGCGAGCAGAACCATCGTGAAGAAACATGTCATTCATGTCTACTTTGTGCGAGGTACAACCCAGGCTTACCAAGGTGCCTCGTTCTAGTAGCTCCTTCAAGAGGGCTGCACGGATCATTCTATCCCGTGGGACTTTGTGAGCATGTTTCAAGAGACAAATGGCCGCTCGAATTACCACAAGGACTCCGAAGAGCTGGAATTGGATTGGTGAACGGCACAGAAGTGAGAAGTGACAGCAACGCACAGCAGTGCGATTGTGGTGATCTGCGCGCCCTATCGCGCGCCCTCCCTGGTGATATGTACAGTAGCCCGTGACGAGCACACTTCCATTTACTGTTATTCGTCCCCAGTAAGTACCGCCCCCAAACCGTCGCGGCCCGATGAGTTTGTCGGGGAAAGACATGCCGGTGGCTATTGCAGGCAGGGTACTCGTAGTAACTGGGACCCAAGTATGCAAGTCCTGAGAAGCAGGGAGGATCGATTAGGGCGGCGATGGCAAATGGCACATGGGAAATAATCGTTAGGTAGGCACGCAATTGGGGTTCTGGACCCTGCATCTCACCCCTATATCCAGGGGGTGCTGCAAATGTACCTCGCATGTGTTTCACATGTCTCGACCGGCGCGTATTTATACAAGTGGTTGTATCCCACCTATCCCAGCACGAATAGATCGACAAGAACAGAATCGTGTGCAAGAGTTTGTTCCTGCGCTCAAGGGGAGAAATGTCACAAGTCAACCCTCATGATTCTTTTTTTGCGAGCTTCAATACACAGAGAGCATGGGGTCTAGGGTTCATGCCTTGATTGCTGCCGAATTCGCACTTCACGGACTTTCGTGTGGTAGGGTAAGCCGCCACCGTGGGGGGATTGAGTGTGAATGATCATGGATAGGCTGGAGAAGGTCCTAGACAGTGAGAAGTCTAACGTATCAAACAAGTTCAGGAATATCTACGATCACCCTTCGCTACTGCGAAACTGGTTCATGCAAGGAACGTAGAATGTGAACTCCCGACCCCTTTCGAGGGCGCGGGATGTAAGGTACTCGGTACAGCACCATGTAACTAATCGAACTGTCTGTTCCATGCCGCTGATGAGACGCCAGATTAGGGGTCCTCTCAGCACCAGCACACACACTACCGCCGTCCTTTACTACATATTCCCAACTACCGAGTACAGACCCTGATCGGCCCGAAAGGGGAGCTGTTTTTGTACCTGGCATGCTTTCAGGCTTGTTATTCCTTTCTCCCGCTCGCAGAAGGGTATGCCTTAAATGCTCGGATACTTTGACAAAAGGGTCATGTTCTTGTCCGATGGCAAACACCGAGTATGTTCTCCTTGATTATCATACGCAATCAAAGCGGGCGACCGGATCTGAAGCCTGTGGCGTGATGACAAAGTCTCTCTCAGGTCACAGGCGCTACGGAAAATGCTAGGATATATCTTTGTAGCTCGAAAGTTGTTGTGTGGAAGCTTTTCTTGATAACTTCATGGAGGTGATGGGGATATGTCAGCAAGTGCCAACTCACGTTCAGCGGCCTGGATAACTTCGTATCAGTGACATTTTGGTAAGTACGAGTAAGAGCGAGCGCGAGGGGATACTCCGAAGCGATACTATCTGCGACGCGCGGTGCAGCGGCGAAAATCCAGCTTCGAACGCTCAGCTCCCAAATCTGCTCAGAGCTGTCACCCATGGATCTAACGAAAAAAAAAGGGCGCGTTTACCAAGTAGTGCACTGCACTGTACGAGTGGGGGGATAGTGCACACGCAGAAGAGGGAATGACCTGGTTGAGAGCATTGCGTGGGTGACCAATCATATTAGAGCACTTGTGCCGAAAGTAGTGAAGTGCAGTTTTCATGGAACCAATGAGATGAAGCATTCACGGTCCCATATAGTGCGAGAGGGCCGCCGAGGGTCTGGACTTACAAATGCATACTTCCCGGAGTGTGCAGGCTTTTATTTACCCTTCTGAACCAGAAAGCTGTTCAGGAGAATGCTAATTGCTGATGCTCAGTATATGGTTACCGGGGCTTGCCTTTGAGAGTTGTGGGGTCTTGGCTTTTCGATAGTGCGAGCAACGAACAGGCAACTCTCGTTGGTACAGAAATGCTCTTTTCGACGCAGAGCTCTTCAAATCCGGAGACCCCGTCATTTGTCCAAAAGGGCCTTCTTCTGTTTGAGAAACACTTTATGAGAAATAGTCGGCTCAGCGGAAGTGTCAAAATCAAGACATATATATATATTAAATGTACGAGACAGTCATAACTGCCTGTGGTATGGAGGGGCATTAGGACTTGTGCATACAACATAACAATCGTAACGAGTGCGTCAAAGAGCAAGCACGCACTTGGTTTCCCCCCTCTTCCAGTGCAATGCTGCGGGGTATCCAACTTTTCCGTTGCTTTCTCCCACCTGATCCCCCGGGATTGGTCCTCCCCCTCCATCTGCCCAACTCATTAGTTCATTCACAACATATACCAATACAAACACGCTCTGGTCTTGTTTCTGTTTTCTACTCTTTTTCTCTTTTTGCTGTTGTTCTCTTGTCTCTGCTTCGCGGCGGTTGAAGCCGGCTGGAGTTTATGGGTGGCTCTGAGACGTGGTGAGTTATGCTTGGTGCTCGGCCTCTTTTTCGGCCTCCTTCTCAGCATTTGACTCGTCGCTGTTGCGGTCGGCGGCAGCAGGGGTGATTTCCGCGTCTTCAACGTGATCGCCGGTTCCGGCCTCGCGTCTGATCCTGGCCATCTCCTCTGGAGGTGGAGCGATCCACTCGCTGCTCTTCCACGGCTTCACACCGAGGATGTACATGGTATCGATCTCCTCCAGGGTCCGACCTTGGCCTTCAACGACAAAGAAGTAGACCAGGGGGATGGCGACGAGGTTGCAGCCTGCAAAGACGTAGCCGTAGAGGAAGTCGATGTCTCCGGTGATGAATGGTGTGAAGAACGCGATGAGGAAGTTCCACAGCCAGTTTGAGGCGGTCGACAGTGCCATGCTCTTAGCCCGGTATCTCGAAGGTACATTTCGCCGCACTATGAGAATGTTAGAACGTGTCTATGCCATCTTAAAAAAAAGATGCCGGGAAGAGTAGTGGTGGTGTGAATGTGCCGGGAAGTATCCCCTTCCCGCCGCACGCCATTTTCTCTAGCACCATACCACTTTTTTTCTGGCCAAAAGAACATCAGAAGCATCAGAAGAAAAAAAAACTCACAATTGTCCAGATGATAGGTCCCCATGTCACAGCAAAGCCAAAGATGAAGAACGAGGCCATCACGATCATGGCGGTGCCGCTAGATTCGGTCTTTTGGGGGTCGCTCTTGTCGAGCGAGAAGTGGCCGACATTGGCGAAAATCAGGAACATCAGGAACATCCAGGCCGATCCCCACATGAGGGACTTGCGACGGCCATAGTGCTCGACGACGTACAGGCCGTAGAAGGTCGTTCCGAAGTTGATACCGTTCAAAATCACTGATGTCCCGTCAGCACCTGCATACTTACAAATCGGGAAATCTGGGGGTCCGGGATATTTCGGCAAAGCTGGAGCAGGTCCGGGAAGGGCTTACTTTGGGTCTGCGAATGAGTGTTAGCCTCTGCTGACATGTACTGAGTCCACCACAAGAGCCGAGTGTGGCTGGTGGGAGCGAGGGGTGGGAAGAGGGAGTAAGACGGGAAAGGGCGGAAAGGGGGTGGAAGCTGAACAAAGGCTTGGCACTTACCACAAAGCTATTGTTGATACCCGTTGCTTGGCTGGTAGAGACTGTTAGATAATATTCGACAGATTTTATGATAGGAATCTTTCCCAAAAAAAACACAAGGCGGAACCGGGAGGGTGTGGGAACTCACAATATCACCGTGCCATAGTAGAAGAAGTAGTTGGCACCGGTCAACTGCTGGAACATCTGCAGCGTCATGCCGAGCACGACACGATACGCCATCTTGGGAGCGCGGAACATGTTGAACCATTCAGTGATGGGGCCGTCCTGCTTCGCTTCTGCCCGGAGCTTGGCCTCGATTTCTTCCAGCTCGACGTGGACGCTGTAGTGGTTCGGTGGGGCGCCATATACTTTTTCCATGATTCTCTTCGCTTCTTCTTTATGTCCTTTGCGGTACAGATATCGCGGGGTGTCGGGGAAGGCAAAAATGCCACCGCCGAGGATGAACGCCCAGACGAAAGCGATTCCCATGGGGATTCGCCATGATCCAGAGTTTCCCCTTTGGTGCTCGTAGGTGCCAAAGTTGATGCAGGCAGCCAAGAAGATACCGAACGTGATCTATATGGTTTGTTAGAAGAGACCAGTGGGGGTTCAAGGTATGACATACGAAGAGCTGGTATGTACTGATCAGGGCGCCACGGATGTATCGAGGAGCGGTTTCAGCTTATGAAGGGTCAGTGATTGGACTCGACGAGCATCTTGACAAAATCGCTTACCCATATACATTGGCACGAGCAATGACAATGCGCCGACACCGAGACCAGCAACCCATCGGCCCATCATAATCTGGTACCAGTGATGGTCTGAGGAGATCATGACAATGTTGCCCACGCAAAAGACGGCGCACCAGACGGTCACGCTCAGCCTTCTGCCAATGAAGTCGGCAATGGGAGCAGCAACAAGTGCTCCAATCAATGTACCGATCGACAGCTATATCACTTAGTCCCAGCCTCGTACCAAGGGGCCAAGGGGTAGTCAACTTACCATTGCGACAATCAGACCCGAACGCACGTTGCTGAAATAGAATGTCCCATCGCTGTGACG